TTCTGTGATTCTATGATTGTATTTTGTGTTTTTTAAAAATATCTGCAAATAACTTTTTGCTCTCTTCAGATCGCGTTGGGTGTGTTGGGTGGGCTTGCAGTGTTATGGTCCCTTCTCAAGACTGCAGGCTGGAAGAGGCGTACAGGAAGCTCTATCATTGACTTGCAGGTATAAATATCTGGTAACCTAAAAAGGCAGTTGTGTTCCTCTCTTTAAGGAGACCTTTGCTGTCATTCCCTGTGACATAACTATTCTGTGTCTTAAGATAACTGAAGTAATTTCTAGCCTAGCTGCTGAGAAGCGTGACCTGGAGTTCGGTTCACTTGAGGAAGTCCGATTTTCACAATTTTTGGATTCTGATGTCATTTAGGAAATATTTTTGCTCGAATTTTTACAGAGCTATTCTGATCAATTGAGCAGCCTTAGTTTTCAAATCAGTTCTTCTTTGAAGAATGACTACCATGGAGGGGTTTTCAGATGCTAAATAGACCATAAATATGTGAACACAGCAGAAAAATTTTGTTTGGGGTTACTTTTCCATCCCAGAGCTGGGGTGTGAGCTGCAGCCCATTTTATGTGAATGTACGTATGCATCACATAATTAGCTTTACAGATCACCACAGTATGTTTTTTGTAATTGCAGACAGTTCTCAAGTTCTTACTGTTTTATGCTGGAGACCTTGCCAACGTTTTCTTTGTCGTCACAGCGGGCACAGGGATTTACTGGCTTGTGTTCTTCAAAGTAAGTGTTTACCCAGATTTGGGCGTTAAGGAGTCCTACTAATATCACGTATATTTTTACAGAAAAAATTCATTTTCTTTCTTTCTTTTTTCTTTTTTTGCCTTTCTGGTCAGACTATTGAGGCAAGTTCTGTATCATATTCTGGTTTGTGTGCTTTTGTGTTTACGTGTTCCTTTCCCTGAGGATTCACTATACTTGCAGGCTGCTTAACAGTCACGTCAGATATTTTACAAATCCAACATGAGCGCACATTAAATACTGATCTTTTTCTGCAAAAGTCGTAAGCCTTTAGTATGTTGTTACATGTGCTGTCCACACTGTTCCAATGTCACTTCTCAATTACAGGCTCAGCAGTTTGTCTCTGTTTTTTTACCGCTTCCATCTCAAGAAGAAGATTTTGTTACATACATAGCATGTGCTTTTGGTTTAAAGGTAAACATTTTTTTTCCTTGGGCATTAGAAACATTTCAACATATGCTTCTCTATATTTTTCAGTGGGCTTGATTTTAAACATCTTCTACAGTTATTAGTGTATGTAGTGTAGATATATGTAAACATTTATTGTATTCTAAGAATTAAGTCATTTTTCCATAGACGTTTATTTTATGGAGTCTTTAGAGCAAAACAGATGTCTAAGGAAGATGATCTATCAAAATTTATTCTTTCAAGGATAAAGGTGTAAAGAAATCCAAATAAAGTAACACCATACCAACAAGACAACTGCTTTCTTTTAAAGCAGAATATAAGTGCTGTCAGTTCCTGATTAAAAAGAAGACAGATTGAAATAATTATGTTTGCCAATCTTATCCTGGGCACCAGCTGTATCCTGGGCTGTATCAGGAGAAGTGTGGCCAGCAGGTCGAGGGAGGGGATTCTGCCCCTGTACTCTGCTCTGGTGAGACCCCACCTGGAGTGCTGCGTCCAGCTATGGAGCCCTCAACATCAGATGGATATAGACTGGTTGGAGGCGTCCAGAGGAGGCCATGAAGATGCTCAGAGGGCTGGAGCACCTCTGCTATGGGGACAGGCTGAGAGAGTTGGGCTTGTTCAGCCTGGAGAAGAGAAGGCTCCGGGGAGACCTTATAGCCCCTTCCAGTACCTGAAGGGGCTACAAGGAAGCTGGGGGGGACTTTTTACAAGGGTCTGCAGGTTCAGCACAAGGGGTAACGGGTTTAAATTGAAAGTGGGGAGGTTTAGATTGGATATCAGGAAGAAGTTCTTCCCGGCGAGGGTGGTGAGGCACTGGAACAGGTTGCCCAGAGAAGCTGTGGATGCCCCATCCCTGGAAGTGTTCAAGGCCAGGCTGGATGAGGCTTTGAGCAACCTGGTCTAGTGGAAGGTGTCCCTGCCCATGTCAGGGGGGTTGGAACTAGATGGTCTTTAAGGTCCCTTCCAACCCAAACCATTCTGTGATTCTGTGATTCTATGTTCAAGCATACTTGAAGAATTCAGATTGGTATTCTGTCTTCATGGGACATACAATTATTTCATTGATTATGGATATTATATTGAATTGGAACTTATAATAGAGATTAATAACTTATGGGAAAATAGTTAAATATTTTTTGTTACTTTGCTGTACTTTCTTGATTATTTTGGACATTGTCACATAACTTGCCATTACTCCAAACTTTTAAATTAAAAAAAAAGATGTATCAAAAGTAGGTAACAAAGTTGCAGACTCTCGTAAAGTATATTACTTGTTATGTTTAATGAATTACACATGCAATGACTGTTTCTTCATCTTTGTATATACACTGTTGCTGTCCTTACTTGTTTTATTTCTCCTTTTTCTTTCTTAGGCTCTGCAATTCTTACAGCTGCTGGTTTCACAACTTACTATAGATGTTTTCTTTATTGACTGGGAAAGACCTAAGGGCAAAGTTCTTAAAGCAGTTGAAGGTAACTAAGAGTGTGCTAGTTTGGATAAACAGCTTTGGTTGAATTTGGATATTGCTCTCAAGTACTAAATTTCAGAGCTTTATTGCACGTATTCTTTTCAGGTGAAGGCGTCATTAAAAGTGCTGCTGCACCTGTGAGCATATGGAGGACGTATTTTATAGCAAATGAGTGGAATGAACTTCAGACAGTGAGGAAGATAAATCCCCTCTTTCAAGTGCTTGCAGTTCTTTTTTTCCTGGAGGTATTATTACTACTACTATTATTGTTGTTGTTACTAACTTTTTATGATTCACAGCCAGAGTGTAGCATAAGGGTCTGTTTTTTAATTCTTGCATTCTCTGTGGTATTAGTGGATGACCTTCAGGTTCACGTGAAAGCATGTGACTTAGTAAAAGAGTTATTTTAATACATTTTTTAATTTGTATGTATGTATGTATAGGTCACTGCAGTATTTCATTACGGAAGACTTAAAAAAAACCTACCAAAAATATCCCCAAAAATCTTTACTTACCTTAGAGACCTTTGTTTTGTTTGGGTTTTTTAAGGTCATGAGTTACCCTCAGTGGCTCAAGAGACTGATAAATCTGTGTGCACACTCAATTCTTTATTTGCCTACTGGCACCCTCCTGCCACAGCCTGCAGCATTATTTCTGGTTTCATGTTTATCTGAACTGAGCTTCCTTCCTGCTAATTGGCAATGGTGACCTTTTACAAAGCAGGAAATGAGGTGTGCCGGTTCTGTTCCTGATGGCGTAATTCAAGGCAGCATGCCTGCAGTTACAGCTTAAGGATATGTCAGAAATTGTGCTTCAGCTTTTAAAATGTATTTTGGTTTGTTTCCTCTGTAGTTTGGTAAGTACCTTTATTCTGGGAAGTATTCTTAAAGCATGTAGCACGTAGTTGTTTCTGTGAGGATCCTTTACATATTTTTAATACTTTTGTTCATTTTTATATTTCCTTTTCTAAATTTCCTATCCTTCCTTTACATCATACTTAGTAAAAACCCCCAAACTTTCCTCATTCACTACGTCAGTATTTTTGCTGTTGGTAAATACTGGCCAGGAACAACTCAGGTGCCACAATACAAGGAAGAAATGGGTGAAAAGAGAACACATATTCCCAAAACTAACTGGTCTCAGGTTACTCTTACTAGGCTCCAGGTATTACTAGAAGTGAGAGGCTAGTCTATAATTCCTGCTATGGATTTCCCTCTGGAGAATCCCTTTCTTGACGCTGATGGTGGAGGAAGTCATGAAAGATACCTAAATAGATTAAAATGAATGCTTGTGAAAACCTCAGATAATGTTTACAACTTCCATTGTCATGCTGGAGTTTGGAATCGAGTTCCCTCAGAAGAATAATGCTTGGGGTAGATATGGCAATCAGCTGCTCACTGCAAGGGGGAACTTCTGTATTCCTCAAAAGCTGTCTTCTGGGGATGCCGATTTTGATAAAGTGACTGTTCAGTTCTCATTAATCCTGGTGACAGGCAATACAGTAGTAGAAAACAAGCCAGGAAAAGTAATGGAGGAAGTTGGAAATGGTCTCCCTCTGCTCGGGCCTCATATCTGGCACCAAAGCAGCCACTTGGCTGGCACTGGTCACTGCGGCAGTGTTGGCTGCATGGCTAGTGCAGAGTCCAGAGAAGGCCACGAAGATGCTCAGAGGGCTGGAGCACCTCTGCTATGGGGACAGGCTGAGAGAGTTGGGCTTGTTCAGCCTGGAGAAGAGAAGGCTCCGGGGAGACCTTATAGCCCCTTCCAGTACCTGAAGGGGCTACAAGGGAGCTGGGGGGGACTTTTTACAAGGGCCTGTAGTGACAGGACAAGGGGTAACGGGTTTAAATTGAAGGTGGGGAGGTTTAGATTAGATATCAGGAAGAAGTTCTTCCTGGAGAGGGTGGTGAGGCACTGGCACAGGTTGCCCAGAGAAGCTGTGGATGCCCCATCCCTGGAAGTGTTCAAGGCCAGGCTGGATGAGGCTTTGAGCAACCTGGTCTAGTGGAAGGTGTCCCTGCCCATGGCAGGGGGGTTGGAACTAGATGGTCTTTAAGGTCCCTTCCAACCCAAACCATTCTGTGGTTCTACAACTTTCACTGTTGTACTGGGTCTGGCAGTGATGGAGTTAGTTTTCCTCATAGCAGCCCACAGGGTGCTGTGGTTTGGGTTTGTGGCTAAAACGGGGCTGAGAACACAGCACTGTTTTGGCTGTTGCGGAACAGTGCTTGCACAGCATCGAAGCCCCCAGCGAGGAGGCTGGGTCTGCGCAAGGAGCTGGGAGGAGAACACCACCAGGACAGCTGACCCCTGCTAGGGATATTCCATACTCTATTCCATGACGCTCAGCAATAAAAATGGAGAGGAGGGATTTTCTGGGGGCTGGCTGGGCATGGGTGTACTCGTGGGAGGTCGTTAGTGATTGCCTGTGCACCACTTGTCACAGGGTGTGTTTTCACCTTCTATTTCCCTTTCCTTTGCTTATTAAAGGGTCTTTATCTTGACCCACACGTCCTCTTGCTTTTGTTTTTCCTGTTCCCCGTGCCGCTTGTGGTGGCAGTCAACCCACCCCAAGTCTGTTTCCCGTGCAGCTTCAGTTCTGAATGATTTTCACAAAATTTTCGCCTCTTGAGTGCTTCTAGATAGAATGTTCCTCTCATCTTTCTATTTGGGAGCTTCTTCTTGATGGTTTGTCTGACACAGATTCAGCCATACAGACAGTAGAGGGAAAGGTATGTCTGTTCGACAAAAGCCAAAACACACACCCCCACAAGAAACCCCAAACCAAAAAACCCACCAAAAAATCAGTTTCTCACAGTTGCAGAACACATGAAACTGTGCTTTAACGCTGGAATATATGGAACCACGCAGGTGAAATTTGGCAGAAATAATATCCCTGTGCAGTTGAACAGTCGAAAGTTTGTGATTTTTTCAGTAAAAGTCAGTGTGGTCTTGTCATGAGGTTTTGGTGGGTACATTTCTGGATTTATGTATCAACACATGTGCGCACAGTTCATGTTTTTGATTGTGTTTCTCAGCAGTAATGCTGGATCATGGGACTGGGCTCTGTCAAAGCAAACACACTACTATTCCCAGGTCCATTTTTCCTGTTTCTTCTCACCTCCTGTTATGATGGAAATAACAGACCCATAATTAATACCATTCATTGCCTCATGGTGTTAGACTGACCTGTCTTACCTCTTCAGGTGGTGGGATTTTCAAACCTGGCTTTAATGGATTCTTCTTCCAGTCTGACGAGAAGCAGCGAGAGCTACGTCGCTCCTTGGAGCCGCATTTTAAGATTCGGTGTGTCTGCTGCGCTCTGGCTGGCCGTTGCTTTCCTACAGGTACGTGAAACGTGACCTGGTGGATTACCATCTTCAGGCTGGTGCTTGGATGCTGGAATATTGCTGGGCCATCCAGCTCTACGTACCCTAGCTTTGGATACGTCCATCACTGTTCGACGTGATGTAGACTTCCAGCCGCCGTAGCACGGCACGCCTTTACAACTCAAAGTGAATCTTACTGGGCAGTCCGAATCTTAATCTTCCTGCATACATGAATTTATGCAACTGCTTCATTTTGTTTTAAACAGCTCTGAAGCATCTCCACGTTCAAAATGAAGAGCAGGTTATTGCCACAGTTGCCTTCTCAGAGGAAGGGTGTCAATCCCAGTTCACAGAGTCCAACGCACTGGGGTCCACTAGAGCAGTCTGTAATTTGTGGGTGTTACGCTGTGAAGTTGATTGCTTAATCAAGTCAAATATGACGAACTAATAAAAGAAAATTTGGTTGATTTCTTTCAGATAATCTTTTTTTCTGTGTTTTATGAAAGATTTGTTGAAGATAAGATCAGCCAATTTGTTGATTTGTGTTGCATGAGCAATGTAAGTATTCCTCTGCCTCACTGGTACAGTGGCATTTTTAACAGAATAACATATGCGATAGTTTTAGGAACATGAAATAATATTGTTTCATTTAATTTAATCAGAGCTTACTAACGAACAGCTAAAGTCAGTGTTTCTTTCAGCACACGTGGTGCAATCTACAGGAAGATTTCAGTTCAACTTCAATTGGAAAAAGACTCTGGAGTCATAGGTGTCAATAGGTTCTTCTAGACCCGTCATTTTCAGGTTGCTTCTTGAAGTTAAATTGGTTCTGTATGCTCATACAGAATGAAGAAAGTAAGGTTATGACAGATAGGAGGTGTGGGACCGTTCGCCACCGTTCTTTCTACCGATTTGCGTGTTAGTACATCTGTGAAACAGACACGGCTGTCTTGGTTTTATTTAATGTGTTTCTGTTCAATTTCTGCTTCTGTCTTGTGGTTGCCCCTCAACCACTGAACTTCACGGTTCTCCCTCTTGGACAGGTATCCCTGTTTTCATGTATTTTCACTTAGGAACTACTTCCCTTTTTCTAGTTTAAATGTGGGTCTCGAAGCTTTGTACTGCAGGAATCCCTTTTTAACCAAAGAAGAGTGCAGTCAGCACAGGTTGGCTTAGCTCATTTGGCCAGAACTTCTTAAAAAGAGATTAACCCCTTTTATCAGCCTTTCCAGCCTTGGTTATTCCTCCTCCATGAGAAACCCACTAACTGCAAGGGTTGTGAAGAGAATTAATTTGGGGTTTTATGTGATGTATAAGCATTGTGTCATACTGCATGAAGTTTTACTAAGTACAGCCTCCTAGGACCAAAACTGGCATCATGCATACCTACTGCGTATCATGGAAATAACTTTAGAATCAAAATAAAAGCTGGTGTCTTTGCTTTAATTTGCTGGCTCTGTGGAATTAAGTAGTGATCCATGCTGATGATAAGCTACGCTTGACACTGGTGCATGTGTCTAGTGAATCAGTAAAGGAGTTATTCAGTATTCTTCCGCCACGTTTATTTTGGCACCTGCCTACTTAGTATTTGTAAAAGGGCTGGTCTTGCTGATCTCCACTGTGAATTCAGGAGTTCAAAAATAAAATGATACTGTTCAATTAAAGTATCCTTCTCTTCCCCCATCTCTCTTAGATTTCCGTGTTTCTCTTGTCACACAGCTGCTTTGGTTATTATATCCATGGTCGCTCTGTGCACGGGCATGCAGATACCAATATGGAAGAAATGAGTATGAACCTAAAGAGAGAAGCAGTAAGTAAAAGTGGTAAAGTTTACACCTGCCCTACTTATTTAATTTATTTTAAAAAAACCCACACCTTTGCACTGCGGATCTGCACTTGTGCGTTGCATTGCACCAGGCCAGGCTGGATGAGGCTTTGAGCAACCTGCTCTAGTGGAGGGTGTCCCTGCCCATGGCAGGGGGGTTGGAACTAGATGGGCTTTAAGGTCCCTTCCAACCCAAACCATTCTGTGATTCTGTGATTCTTAAAAGATACCAGCTGTTGGCAAGCCCATAGCCACGTTCAAAAACTTACATACCAAGAAGTTTTCATAAAGAGACAGATCTGAGAAACACCTAATACAGAGACATCCACTCTTCCAATGAATTCTGTTATTCCATCTCTTCTCCTCTGGTGATCCAGCCTGTTCTTTACAGAAATAAATGTGAGTAAGTATTCTTTCTGGTTTGTGGTAGGTTATATCTTTGCTGCAAGATCAGGCAAATATAAAATGTCTCATATCAGATTGGAGCACTTTGCACTAAATTCCATGACGTCTTGCCTTGTTGTAGGGACAAATAGGAAGGAATTACCTCAGACAAAGGATATTGCTACTTCAACGATAACTGGACAAAAAAAACCCATAACCCTGTGAAACTTAAATCTCAAACACTGAAATACAGAGGAGTCTCTAAAATTTTTGACTTGTGTCTTCCTATAGTTTTTCCTAATTGTTTATTTTAACATGATTTTGGAAAAAGCAGTTTTTTACCTCTGGAGACATGGAATTTTCTATTTTCTTGAGGTTTTTGAGATCTATTAAACATGACCTTAAAAAGTATGGAAAAAGTCAGGAATCCAGAGCACAAAAAAAGCAGGAAAAGTATAGAATAAATGATAAACATGAAAAAAAGGACTTCAGAACAGATGTCCGAAGATGTGTTCGAAGGTAATGAACTGAACACAGGTAGAAAGAGGAATATGTTTTTGTGACAGCAGGGGTCAGGATTTCATGTCCTAAGAAAATCTTGCTACAACTGATCCAAAAGTGCAGTGGATTCAAATATTTAGAGGTATTAAGTACTTGGAAGAGAGCAAATGAAAAGCTTTTGACTTTTATGGGGGTCTATGAATGACACTAATGATGTTAATTTACAATTGCTTCAATTGTATAGGAGAATCTGTGCAGTCAGAGAGGTTTGTTACCCAACACAGATGGCCAGACATTTCAGATTTCCATTTCAAGAAAGATGAGACTACACTACGACAGGATTCATGAAACCCTCGCACGCGTAAGCGCGATATTTGTATTCCGTAAATGTTATTTAAAAGATGTCATTTTTCTGCTGAAGTCATGGTCACGTTGTGTTTCAGAGACGTGGCCCTGCTAGGCTTTTGGAGGCATCTGCAAATACTTCTGAACAAAGCACAAGGGCATACAACACCATGAACAGATTTCTCAGCTCTTTCATTGATCACGTATGTACACTGACACTACTGTAGTAAGGGAAATAGAATTATATTAAGTAGTGACTAAAAATTGTGTATCTGGAAGACTTTGGTTTCTCTTTAAGCATAAAGAATTGTGCTTAAAGACTTGTTAAAAGACTTTATGCACTGGAACAGGTTGCCCAGAGAAGCTGTGGATGCCCCATCCCTGGAAGTGTTCAAGGCCGGGCTGGATGAGGCTTTGAGCAACCTGGTCTAGTGGAAGGTGTCCCTGCCCATGGCAGGGGGGTTGGAACTAGGTGGTCTTTAAGGTCCTTTCCAACCCAAACCCTTCTGTGTTTCTATGATTTATGGCAGCTGGAACAGTGCTTCATTCAAGGGAAAAAAAAAATGGAGCACTGTCCAACAGTGCAGCCTGCTCTTAAAAATGCCAAATCCTTTTCTGTTACGCATTTATTTGTGTCTTGGAATAGACCGGTGCTTTTTTATCACTCACAAAGTTCTAAGTGGCTGTGCTTTGTCACAAATACTTTTTTGTTGAAATCATCAACCAAGAAGCATTGTTTTTCTTTTTCTTACAGGTTCATAAAGAAATGGATTATATTGTTAAAGACAAGTTGCTGCTTGAACGGATTCTTGGCATGGAGTTCATGGAACCAATAGAGAAAAGTATTTTTTACAATGGTAAAAAGATTTGTGACTTGGCATTTGCACTATTACAAGTATGCAGGTTTCTGCATAGATTTCTCTCCCAGGATTTACAATCTAAACTGGGCTTTACAGCAGGAGAGGTCATTAAATGACCGCTTGTTAGGGAAGTTTTTAAGAGATGTTCTTCAGGTGACAGAAACCCCATTTTTAATTTGTCGCTTGACTGTGATGCTTTTTCTTTTAGGCAACTGACAGGATGCTGCGTAGAGACGAGCATGTGTTTACAAAGTGCTCCTTTGCCTTGCTACCTAGATCCAGTATCCCTTTTGTAAATGCAGAGATGACCCACTGTGCATAAATAGCTCCATTCTATATTTTCATATATAGAGAACCAGATTTCTTACAAAGCAACTACAAGTACAGCTAGACATTTTCGTTAAAGAGGATATTGATCACACTGAGGATGTTTTAGTTGGAATACTTGATGTTAATATACCACTCGTCTTTGCAGACTCCACTAAGTATTTTGTATTCGTGAATATTTTATTTTGAAGCTTTTTAAATGTTGCCAATACATACAGGAAAAATGAGTATTCCAGCGGAAACAGGGATGACATCAGTTCTGATTCTGGTCTCTGAAGCTATGCAAAATCAGTCAGGCTTGGGTTCTCCAGTGCCTCATCCTGAATCCCAAGCCCTTGCTAAACCTAGCCAATAGGTATTTCCACATGACCAGTATATGTGTTTAAAACAGTGCTGTGTCCAGCTGTGGAGCCCTCAACATCAGAAGGCTATAGACCGGTTGGAGTGAGTCCAGAGGAGGCCACGAAGATGCTCAGAGGACTGGAGCCCCTCTGCTATGGGGACAGGCTGAGAGAGTTGGGCTTGTTCAGCCTGGAGAAGAGAAGGCTCCGGGGAGACCTTATAGCCCCTTCCAGTACCTGAAGGGGCTACAAGGAAGCTGGGGGGGACTTTTTACAAGGGCCTGTAGTGACAGGACAAGGGGGAACGGGTTTAAATTGAAAGTGGGGGGGATTAGATTGGTTATCAGGAAGAAATTCTTCATGGAGAGGGTGGGGAAGCACTGGAACAGGTTGCCCAGAGAAGCTGTGGATGCCCCATCCCTGGAAGTGTTCAAGGCCAGGCTGGATGAGGCTTTGAGCACCCTGGTCTAGTGGAAGGTGTCCCTGCCCATGGCAGGGGGGTTGGAACTAGATGGTCTGTAAGGTCCCTTCCAACCCAAACCATTCTGTGATTCTATGATTCTATGAAACAGATTTTGTGGAAGTTCTTGACTACATCTCAGTCATCAGTCTCGGTTCCTAAAACAGAATCCCTGGAAGACTGATGCTGTGAAACACCAAGGCTCTAAAAACCTTTACCTGTTCACAGTTACTGCCAGGTGATCCATACCTGCACCACTGGAATCCACATCCAGTGCTAGTCCTCCACTTCCAAGGCTCTGAAACCCTGAGTCCTGGTCCCCCCTGTTGGCAGATGTGGTCTGTATCCACACTGCAGTGAAGTACGAGCTGTGAGCTGGAGCCTCACACTTGTCTGCTTCCTCAGTCCCTGAGCTGTACAGAACCCATCAAAAATTGTCTTTAAAACCTTAGCTCAGACCCTGATTCTGCCCCTGACCATAACTACGGCCCTCACGAGCACAAAAACTAAACATTAACTAGTGATCCAAGGTAGTGCAGGTGCGTACATGATGTAGACTACTTGGCTATGAAAAAGGTGTTTTAGAAGACCCATCTTCTAGAAAACTGTTACCCAGTGCACAGAGGTTGTTTGGCTCTGAACCTCCGCGTAAGTAAGGCTTCAGACATACGCTCTTACTGTTTTGTTGAGCTGGGGCCGGAGTTAACACTTGCTAACAGCGTCAGTGACAAGGAAGTTACCTCTGCTTCTCGTTCAGAACAGCCTTTCTGAAGCAATCTGATGGAGATTTCAGGAGTGAATAAAGCTGCGTGTTTCCCTATTGTGTGCCGCCAGTATTACATCATTTTCTAAGTGAAAACGTGTTCTTTTGCTTAAACAGAATGATATAACTAGCCCTTATGCTGCCATAGAATGCCATGAGCACCTCTTGCTCTGCCTTCCCTTCTCCTTAGCAGCTTTCTCAGCGCGGACTGATGAACTCCATGAACCTGCACTTCACAGAAATGAGTGTTTTTCAAAAATCTCTTTCTCTCATAGACGAAGGGCAGTCTTTCAGTGATGTTCTCTATTACGGCAACGAGACAACGCTGCTCGTCTTTGATATCCTCTTTTTCTCCATTGTGGATCTGGCTTCCCAGAGTTTTGTTTTGGCCGCTATTCTAACATACTTGCAACAAGAGGTAAATTAGAACTTAAGTAATATTTTTGAAGTGTGGGTCAGTATGGACATTTTGTGATTAAACCAGAGAACGAAAGCAGCCAGTTAGCCGTTTGTGGTGACAGGAGACTGTCCTGAGAGCTTACAAAATAGTTCTTTGGTTTGTTGGTCAAACAGGCTGGTGGGAAATTTATTTTATTCACATGCCAGTCATGAATGAAAAAGCTACGAATACCTTTTAAATAGAAAACACCAATATCAGTTAACAGGAATCACACATAATTATATTTCAGGGTAGAAAGATATTGGAAAATATTTCAAAAATGCTAAAGGGAGTTAAGCACCTAAATCACTCGTTTATGAATTAAAGGCAATATGAAGTTATGTTAGTTACTGAAAGATACAGTTTTAAGTATTTCTTTGTTAATACGGTTTTTCTAAAATATTCCTAGATATTTAGGCTTATTCGTAATACACTTGGGCAGAAGAATCTGGCATCCAAAACCTTGGTAGATGAAAGATTTCTCATTTAATTCAGAAGATGAAAAACCTTGTCGAAGAGTTCATCATGGAAACGGTGTCCACGGCCAAAGCATCTCTGACCTAAAGATCAATTGTGGTGCACTTTTCAAGAAGAAGAATAATGATGTGATGGTTTTGACATTTATAATTTTTTATATCGTGTGCTATTAAGCTTTATTTTTCTGTATTTGCAAGTATTTTTTGATTTGTGAACACTAAGCCGTAGGCCTTTAAAAGGAAACGTACATGAAGATAAAAGTGAACTTACTCTTCTTATTATTAGACTGAGCTAAGACTTATATAATGGCTTTTGCTAAGATTTGGACCACTCACTTTGAGCATTCCAGTTGGCAGGAGAGGTTGTCAACTCTTAACTTTCCTGAAAATCCCTTAACTCCTTTTCTCTTTTTGGTAATTTATTTTGAGGTACAATGCTGAATTCTTCGAGTTCACGCAGCACAGGACTTGTTCTGTATTCGATTAATATTTCAAGAGGACGGTTTAAAGATCACTTATTTACAGCAAGTCCAACTTGAAATGTTCACTTTTCTTTATTGTGGCATAGTGTTGTCGTATGCTTTTGTCTCTCCCAAAATCTACCACCGTTTTTCGTGGGCGGGGAGTCCAGGGGACACAGTTTCCTTGGGTGTGAGATACAGAAGCGTTACAGCGATGCAGAAAAACAGGCAGACGAGAGGTGGTGGGTGTCTGGTGTTTGTTCCTGATCTCCTGTCACCTGGTTCGAGGCGCCCAGGGAAATGCAGCGATTCTTCTGTGCTGTTCCCACAGGAGTGAAACAAAAGCCATCACTGGCTTTTACAGGTGTTCTCACAGGTGTCTAATTCGCTCATGTACCTCTGTCTCTAATTTTCTGGCTTTGTTATCTTCAGATACAACACAGAGACCATAATATGTTTAGTGTCCTCATATTTTTGGAATTTAGCTAAGGAAATAATTATTCAAGTGTCACTTAGTCAAGTGTTAAGGGGGATTATGAACGCACTTCAAAACCCCTTGAAGTGAGGTGTCTGCCTCCCCTCTGTTATCTCTGAAAAGCCTCCCTGCTTTTTAAGAATTATGTTTTTCGGTAAATAATTAAACATGAGTAGTGTTTTCTGGTTTTGTAGCCGTTACTTGTCTTCAGATGATGCAACAAGGGACTCTGACCCACAAAACCACCACAGAAATGTACGCTGAGGTTAGCGCGCTTATTCCAACCAGAGACTGAGGACACGGTTAGTTGGGCCTCGCAGATTCTCAGCCCAGATGTGCTTATCTGAGCTGCTGTTTCACACTGTATTTCACATGTTTTTTGGCTTCATAAGGAGGAGCGTGCTCTCATGTGGACACCATATCATATCGTGATACTGAGCTTATGTTAACACGGACATAAATCTCAGGGTCTACTTGCTTTTGGGTTGGTATTTGGTGTTGCAAAACCTCGCTGGTTGTCGTGGTTTAACTC